TGACCCTTTGTTGACCAGTCACTATTATATCCCACATTGTACATTTTCTCTGGGACTCTATCCCAACAAAAAGATCCCCAAAATCTCAGGCACATTGGGTCTGGTCAGATTTCATGGTGCCACTGTGCCACTGTGAACTCTGACTTGAGTCCCAGCTCTTCTCGTTGTCCTTTCCCTTTCATAAACGGTTGAGTCTATCTATCTTCATTCATTGTTGGAGCAACCTCCATCAGGTAATTATCATCATTAGAAAGCCTTCTGTTTCCTATCCAAGCTAACTACTTTAATCCTAAATTCTTGAGTGTATGAGTGAATGTTAGAGTGTCTTTGTCTGTTTGAATCCCCTAATAAATCAGACTCATTGAAAAGCTTTGTCTCTATTAGTCTATTCCCTAGCCACCTCTGTAAACATAGATAAAAGATCCCATTGGAGACTTGAACTTTAGTAATTCCCCAGGTCAAGTTCTTCTTACACATCTAATGGAGCTACTACAAGCTACTTTCATGCACAACCTTGAGCATCACCTGGCTTGGGAAGCCATGGATAAAGTTGGCCCAGCTATAGAGGGCAGAGACTTAGGTGCAGGTGGTATATTTCACCTCCAATATCTGGAGCACATAAAAGAACACATGTCTACTTGTCATTTTCATTGCATTGGTAAGAGCCTATGTTGGGACATCATCACTAATGGAACTCTAAAGACAGAGTATAGATGGGACATCCTTCATGCTAGGGTCAGTAATCAATCATATGCAGTGGCAAAATTCAAGTGAAAATTCAAGTGAAAAAAATTAGTAAAGGGGATGGAGGAGATTGGTCTGTGAATACTGCTACATCACTCAGAGATGTCATATCATCAATGTTAAGAGGGGAAAGAAACATTGTATCCTAATGAACCACCATCCATAACTTTATTGTCACTTATCAGATGCCCTTTTGGTGTTTCTAATACAGTGTCAAGGCCAGCTACTGTAGGAGAAATATGCCAAACAAACTCCTTCAACAGTGTACCATATGTGTCAAGATGTGGAGACAAGATGCACCTACAGGTTGAGGAAGCTGTTTGCACATAGCAGTACAAGAAAGAGGGAAAGGTGGTGTACCATTGTAGAATTATCAGTGCGTGATCATGTATTGCAACTGTGCTGATGGCTATAAAGCCCTTTTTGAAAGCCATCAAAACAGTTTCAAAACAGCTTCAGCGTGGCCCTTCTCAGTCAGGTTATCTCTATGGTTGCAAAATAGAGAAAGAACCAGAGGCGCCAAAATAAAAAAGAAGCAGGATTGAATGATCTCTGTGGTTAAGCATCCTTTATAGCTAAGCATGTTTTTTGAACAGAATTTTTGTTCTTTAAAATCTTTTACTCTTGTTTTGTAGGAACAACAGTATTAATTATCTGTCATATATTCAAAAATAAAAAGGGTTTCACAGTGAAAAACACCAAATTCCCACTCTGGTGAAAGCAGACATTACTTTAAACATGTATAATTAGTGGTTGTGTGTTTTTCTGTTTTACAACAGAGTAATTAGAAAGGTTCCAGCCTGGATCAGGACCCTAGGAAGGGAGGAGTGAGATTTTAATCTTCCCTTACTATGGAACAAATCTTGATTGAACCCACCACATATGGAATTTATATTGCAACATAATAATCACTACCAGCATTTTGCTAATGCACCACTATTTTCCAATATACATTGCATAGTAGGCTTGATGCAGACTGGTGCCTTGATGGTGATGGTGATGGTGTGGAAACAGTAACATTTGGGTCTGAAGTGGAATCCTGTGCTTAGTCTAGAATGAATCAACAACAAAAAAGTAGCAACTATCTATGTATTGAAATATTTATTTAATCAAATTCTTTATGATTCCTGTATCTAATGATGTCTCACAGCAATGCACAGCCCTGTAATTGACACCATAATGCCTTCTTCAGCCCTTGACCTTTAATCTTAAACATGCCTACTATGGAGTTAGCTCTAGTGAATATAGTAAGACTCGCTTGTGCATAAATTTCTTATTTTCTTCCCTCTGTGATAATCTTCTCTATGATAACAAAGGGATATATAATTGTTTATATTTTGTTAGTATTGTCACTTTCATTTTAAATATTCTTCTTTTCCTTTGCCTTTTCCTGCTTTTCAAGAATATGCTTAGAGAAGCAAAGTGACTTCTACTTTCAGTTCAAATGGATCTGTATTTTTCATAAAAAGAGCCCATATATGGTTAAGGAGTTTTCTTTCTTTTCTATTAGGAACATTCCTAGATTAACTATTAAGAAAATCCATATTTGTTATTTCAGCAGACAAAGCTCGAGTACCATGTTTCATAAAAGGAATAATACTGGAAAAAGAGAGGTGAAAAGTGGAAAAGTGAGAGATTCTATGTCAGTATCTCAAAACTCATTTTAGCTTCAATAAAGGGCTGCAATAAAAGGAAACTTAAAATAAAACAATTATTTTAATGCCTTTCTTTATTTATGGAACATTCATGCTTGCTAAATCGTAAAAGAAAATTCCTCTATGTTTTCTGGAGTTGGTTTGAGGGAATTCACTGAGGAAACAAGTAATCTCTCTTCCCCAGAATCATACACACAGAGGTACTTGCACAATACTTGCTTTCCGTATATATATGCACAGGGTGGTTGGGAAAATGTGGTCTGTGGGCTACATGTGGTCCTCAGTTTTTCTTTTGTGACCTCTGCCTCTCTCCAGAACCCTCCAGGCCTCTTTAATTCAAAGAAAACATTGAAAAATTGCCTGCAAAACTCTACAAAACAATTCCAGGGGTAGTGTTGTTTCCTTAAAACAACCCCAGCACCCAAACTTATTTGCATTGATAAAAATAAATGCCAAATTAGACAACCAAGAAGTGAAAATTGGGAGTCATGCTGGCCTGTCATGGGGACATGGGAGCCAAAATTGGTCCTCGCTGCAGGTGACCATCCCTAATTTACAGCTCCAATCAAACTTTACATCAATCAATGTTATGTCATAGCAGGGTTAGAAAAATGTCTCGGGTGAGGAGAGGGAGGGAGAAACATAATTGGATTGGAAACAGTGACAGCATGGAGAGGAACCAGGGCTAGATGAAAATAAGCTTTGAAATGACCCAGTTTAAGGCCATGGCATTAACACACACACACACACACACACACACACACACACACACACACACTATTTTAGCAAGTGTGTGAAACTAAAAATTAGATTTTAAAAAT